GGCGGCGCTGGGCGAAGCGGCAGCGCAATCGGCGCCGGATCTGGCGGTGGGGCAGCGCGTGGTGCCGCTGCTGGCGCTTGGCGCGCTGGAGGCGGGCAGCGGCGCGTGGCAGGAGTACGTAGCGGTGGACGCGGCGCATGTGGCGGCGGTGCCCGCGGGGGTGAGCGACGAGGACGCAGCGCAAGTGGCGGTCAATCCGCTGACGGTGCTTGGCATGCTGAACCAACTAAACGTTCCCAAGGGTGAGAGGCGAGATGACTTTTGAGACGACTCAAAAGTCAAGCGGCGGTGAAACCACTGACGGTACTCGGCATGCTGAACCAACCGAACGTTCCCAAGAGTGAGACGCGGATTCGTTACAGGCTGACTCGTTTTGTACCAAATGCACCCTCGATGTTCACGACCCCATCATAACCCCTCTCCTTTTTCTTCTCTATCCATCCCCTCGCGTCCTATCCTAAAGGAGTGTATCCTTTCACCAGGCTAGGTGGGTTGTGCACACACACACAGCACCCATATTCTCCCCTCTCTTACTGCCGCTACCCCCGTCCCAAACTTTCCCCCCACTCCCCGCCCCCCTGGCCCCTTGCCCACTTGCCCTCCCCGCCCCCCTGGCCCCCTGCTTCCCTTGCCCTTCTCCCTCCCCTGCTCTCTTCCGCGCAGGCGAGTACGTGGTGCAGTCGCAGGCGGGGTCGACGCTGGGGCGCATGCTCATCCAGGTGGCACGTGCACTGCACTCTCGTGCCCTCCATGCTCATCCAGGTGGCACGTGCACTCTCGTGCCCTCCATGCTCACTCACACATACCCTCCTCGTCGTCCTTCCCCCTCCTGCGGTTTCTCCCCCTTTCCCTTCCCCACCCCCCCCCCACCATGCCCCCCAGGTGAGTATCTGGTGCAGTCGCAGGCGGGGTCGACGCTGGGGCGCATGCTCATCCAGGTGGCACGCGCGCGCGGCATCAGGACAATCAACGTCGTGCGCCGCGCCGCCCAGGCCGCCGAGCTCAAGGCGCTGGGTGGCGATGAGGTGAGAAGAGATGGAGGGAGAGCTTGGGAGGAGGGGGGAAAGGGAGTCGGAAAGGGGGGGAGGGGACGGAAGAGAGAGTGGTAGAGGCGTGAAGGGAGGTTGAGTGGTGTGAGTTCCCGGTGTTGGAGGGAGCTGTACAGTATGAGTCTGGTGGATAATGGACCATCTCATTAGCATGGGCAGGTTATCTGCTCTCCCGCATTCCCACCCCCATCCCCATCCCCATCCTCATCCCCATCCTCATCCTCATCCCCATCCCCATCCCCATCCCCATCCCCATCCCCATCCCCATCCTCATCCCCATCCCCATCCCCATCCCCATCCTCATCCCCATCCCCATCCCCATCCCCATCCCCATCCCCATCCCCATCCCCATCCTCATCCCCATCCCCATCCCATCCCCATCCCCATCCCCATCCCCATCCCCATCCCCATCCCCATCCTCATCCCCATCCCCATCCCCATCCCCATCCCCATCCCCATCCCCATCCCCATCCCCATCCTCATCCCCATCCCCATCCCCATCCCATCCATCCCCATCCCCATCCTCATCCCCATCCCCATCCCCATCCCCATCCCCATCCCCATCCCCATCCTCATCCCCATCCCCATCCCCATCCCCATCCCCATCCCCATCCCCATCCCCATCCCCATCCCCATCCCCATCCCCATCCCCATCCTCATCCCCATCCCCATCCCCATCCCCATCCCCATCCCCATCCCCATCCCCATCCCCATCCCCATCCCCATCCCTATCCCCATCCTCATCCCCATCCCCATCCCCATCCCCATCCCCATCCCCATCCTCATCCCCATCCCCATCCTCATCCCCATCCCCATCCCCATCCCCATCCCCATCCCCATCCCCATCCTCATCCCCATCCCCATCCCCATCCCCATCCCCATCCCATCCCCATCCCCATCCCCATCCCCATCCCCATCCCCATCCCCATCCCCATCCCCATCCCCATCCCCATCCACATCCCCATCCCCATCCCCATCCCCATCCTCATCCCCATCCCCATCCCCATCCCCATCCCCATCCTCATCCCCATCCCCATCCCCATCCCCATCCCCATCCCCATCCCCATCCCCATCCCCATCCTCATCCCCATCCCCATCCCCATGTATTTCCCCATCCACCTTCACATGCAGGTGATCTGCGCAACGGACGAGAGTGTGCCAGAGAGGGTGCGGACCATAACGGGCGGCCGCATGGCGCACGCAGCGGTGGAGAGTGTGGCGGGCGACCCTTGAGTCGGCTCTAAGCATCCCCATCCCCCCCATCCCCACGCATACATGCAGGTCATCTGCTCCACTGACGAGAGTGTGCCAGAGAGGGTGCGAGCCATAACGGGAGGGCGCATGGCGCATGCAGCCATGGAGAGCGTGGCGGGCGACCCTTGAGTCGACATAAATATCCCCATCCCGATCCCCACCCCCATGCACGTGAGCAGGTCATCTGCTCCACTGACGAGAGCGTACCAGAGAGGGTGCGCGCCATAACAGGAGGGCGCTTGGCGCATGCAGCGGTGGAGAGCGTGGCGGGCGACCTCACGGGCGCAGTGCTCTCCTCTGTGCGCCCGGGTGGCACCGTGCTGCTCTTTGGAGGCGCCTCCGGGGCCACCTTCTCCGCCTCCATTGGAGACTTCATCTTCAGGTGAGTGATGTTTATTTCTTTCCATTTCAACTCAGCTCAGGTGTGCCGGGCGACCTCACGGGCGCCGTGCTGTCCTCCGTGCGTCCGGGCGGCACCTTGCTGCTCTTTGGTGGACCCTCCGGGGCCACCTTCTCTGCCTCCATTGGAGACTTCATCTTCAGGTGAGTGATGTTGATATTTCAACTCCAGTCACTTGCTGGTCGCCCTTCATTGGCCAGACTGTTTTTATGCTTGTTTAACCCTCCGGGGCCACCTTATCCACCTCCATCGGAGACTTCATCTTCAGGTGAGTGAAGTTTATTTCTTTCCATTTCAACTCAGGTCACATGCTGCTTGCCTTTCACTGGCCGGCTTATTTTCCCTTGTGGGGAATTTCACACTGACCTGTACCAGTGCTCAGCTTGCCTCGGAACACAAGCGCCTTCGTGTGTTTTTCCCGGTGCCCTGCTTTGCAACGCAGGGATGTGACGCTCAAGGGCTTCTGGGTGGGCCCCTACTTGAAGTCGCTGAGCCATGAGCAGCGACAGGCGGTGGTGAAGGAGGCGTTTGATCTCATCGCCAGCGGCACCGTCACTCCCTTCACGGGTGACAAGATGGACCTCTCAGAGTTTGCCGCTGCGCTCAAGAACCAGATGGCGGAGAATCGCCAAGGGAAGATTCTTCTCTCTGGTTAGATTTGATTATTGCGGCCTGCGTAGAACATTGCTTGAGAAATTGTAAAACCGTGTAGTCCTTATGGCCCTGCTGTTTATATTGCTGATCTTCTTATTTTACTGTACACATTCGTCGTTAGCTAGTAATTTGATTATCCTGTCCGTGGGTTTTACCGAGGGGCCGCAGCCACGCACCCCAGGGTTCCGCGTGGGGCAGCCCTCGCGAAAGTCCCCTTCCTTTCGCATCTGTCGCCAACCGCTTCATTTTGCACTAGGAGATCAGGGTTGAGGGTTCTTCAGTTGAAATCCCCAAGTCTCCGTCTGGCCATTTACAGAAGCAGCTCATTCAGATTTAGGGGGTGTCCAGCGCGTACATTTTGGGGTTTTACGTGCCCATACACGTATGGAGGTTCAAAACGTATCACTGTACCTAAAAACGAATGCCCCGTGAGCAGAGTCCATTCCTCCTGTAATGTCTAGCGCGCGGACACAATTCCCCCCACACATTCTTCAACAGTGCCTGCACCAGCTGGAAACCTAGGTAACTGGTTTCCTCGTGAATGACAGGGCTGGCATTTTCGCTCGGTCGAACTTTCCACGACCGAGCGAGCCGCACACCAAAACAACCTGGCGGGCACTCCAGCCCGCCCATGCGACCTGCATTGAAACACACACAACATTGGGAGGGCACACAATCCCTCCCATGCGCAAACGACAAACATACAAAACACCTGGAGGGCACTCCAGCCCTCCCATGCGCTCCGTCAAATCAACACAAATTCCAAGGAGGGCATTGCATCCCTCCCATGCGCTCCCATCAAACCAACCCAAATCCTAGGAGGGCATTCCATCCCTCCCATGCGCTCCCGTCAGCCAAACTCAATTCGCAATTAATAGCAAACGGCCAGACATGCATCTATAATACGATGCGTTCTGATTTGGCAACTATCTCTCTCAGCGATGCCCATCATGGCAGCAAGAACAATTCGTATAGTTAATTTAGCGCACCAAGGCCTCGTCGCATGTGTCATCGCCCCTATTGGCAATGTGCTCGCATCTCTACTGCCCGCTCTGGTGAATTCTGTTGCTGCTGCTATGCGGGAAGAAGGAATCCTTCGTGATCGCGCTAGTGTGCGAGCAAGGTGGCAGACGCTGCTGAACGAGTTCTCAGACGACCTGTACATCGCCATGTTTCGTGTCGAGAAACACGTGTTCAATTTCATCGTTCAGGAGTGGCTCATAGCTCGTCCGCGGAAGTCAACTTTGAACTACACACATGAGCTCCGTGTCGCCCTGGGTCTGTCACGCCTTGCGCATGCATGGAGTTATCGCATGTGCGGTTTGCACTTTGGAGTGAGTAGGAGCGCCGCTGTTACCATATGTGACGAGTTTGAGGACTTTGTTCTCAAAATGTTAGGTCCCGATTGGGTCAAGTGGCCTGACTTGGATGACATGCCTGCTATGGCCCGTGAATTCCAGAGGCTTGGCGGAATTCCGGGCGTTGTAGGTGCGCTGGATGGGACATTCAAGGGGTGGTGTTACACAATCTGGAGAACACGCTGAGCAGCCGCCCTCGCGCCGGTGCCCCTCGCGAAGGACACCGTTGGTGGCTTGAAGGTCCGGCAGCCGAAGCAGTCCACACCACGCCTGATACGGCCGCGTTTACTCCAGCTCTCCGTCGTGATCGGTTGGCCCATGGCCTCCATTCATCCTGGGCTCGGACTCACCCGGCCATGACCCGACCAACGACCGGGTAAGGCTCTCAAACCTGTCGCATGCACGGTCCACAGCACTGTTTATGGCGCTTGCGATGCTTTCCGCCATGACCGTGGCAATTGCAGTCTCCGGGCCAACACCAATCAAGCCTGCCGTTGACCGACCATTGCTCTGTGTTGGTGATCCCCCTGCAGGAGGCGTCCCCGTCCCACCCGCGGAGGTCGAGGGGGACGCGGTGGGAACGGAAGGTGATGGCGTGGATGGCGAACCAGTGCCAGACGGCGGTGCGGTGGGCTGATTAGTTGTGGTTACTGGAGTCACCACCGCCGTAGTAGGAGTGCGTGGGGTAGGCGTGCGTGAAACAGGCCCGCTTGGCGTAACCGGGGAGTTCACATCCGTAGATGGAGTGCGCGTGTTCCGTCCCGATCCACCAGTCGTTGCAGCACGGATGGTGGCATCCACACTTGGGATGGTGGTGGTAGTAGATGCTAGAACAGCAGGCCTTGCACGAATAGGACCGACGTGCGTCACGGCTGTTGGGGTAGGAACTGGTAGGGGAGTAGGAGTGGTTATCATCGCAGCAGTCACACGGTGGACGGGCTGGACTCCAGGGCGATTGCCACGGATTGTCTCCATCAGTCCGTACCAGGAAGGGAAGTAGCGGATTGCACCGGCGCCAGAGCGAGACAGCCTGTCGCGGAGCTGTTTGTACTGCGCCTCGATCCTCAACATTTTGATTTTGATCGCCCCTCGGCTGAAGCGGAAACGGGGATGGCGCTCAAGCACCAGCGTGTGGAGTGCAGCCCAGTAGTTGGCACCTTGAACTCCGCGCATGAGATCCCAGTCAGGATCCAGGTCGACTCTGGCCTGCACCAGCTGAAGCATCTCTGTGGCCGTCCAGTGCACACGCGGGCTAGTGGGATCGTCCCTCGGATTAGTAACAGCTGGAGAGCGGACGAGCGGGACCCCTGCATCGCCAGAATCATCAACAACGGGCCCACCATCAGGAGAAAGGTCGAGGTCGCCTGCGTTGTGGTCGCTCTGGGCTACCTGCAGATTTCCAGCAGCGGCACTAACAAGGGAGGGGGGGGCGGTAGTGGTTGGAAGGGCAGGTGCAGTGGACTCTTCAGTCCCGATCTGGTTGTTGTTGTGCTCCATAGCGAAGGATGTTGAAAGTTGGCGGTAGATAGTGGATTCAGGACGGATTGTAAACTCAGCAACTAGTGTGATCAAGTTTGTAAGACTGGGGTATTGCAACACGAGGTGCCTCGTTTAAGTAGTGATTTGTTGAGGGAGAAAAACAAGTCGATGCATTTCTGCTTGGGGCACGTTAGCGCGCGACTTAGAACGAGTCGCCGTATGATCGTGGCCATTAAGAGCGAGACCCGCCGTATGTGACGGGCGCTTCGGCAGACATGAGCGTCATTGCGCATGCTTGCCCGTCGAATGTGCTGGGTAGGATTCGAGTTTACTTTGTTTGTGTCGGCGTGTTGTGCTGGGTTGGTAATTTTTCACTTGGTGGTGGGCTGGGAATTTGGTCTGCCGTGCAATGTTGTAGGCCAGAGTGCAGGTGGTTTCGGCGAGTGTCGCGCGGCACTGGCGAAATCGTGCCAGCCATACAGGGGGATACTTACTGTAGCGGGCTGGACGCGGTTTTGTACCCTAGTACGCGCGCATGCTGCGTGCAGTTACGTGCGTCACACGACGCGAGGTACGTGCAGCTGGCGTACCGTCTCCTACACAAAATTTGGTCGTGTCCACGCATTCTGTAAATCACAGTGTTACAACTCCAAATGTGGTAACTGTATGGCTTTATGAGCTGTAAATGTACGCGCTGGACGCGCCCTAAGTCTAGTGCGCAGAGCAGTGGTGTTTCTCACCTTTCCCCGCGCTGCCTAATGCCTCCTCTCTCCCCGCTCACTCTCACCCCGTTTTCTCCGCTCTTGCACGTGAACTCATGACTCTTGAGTCGACTCAAAAGTCACCGTGAACTCATTCTGCGTGCGCCATCTCATGCCTTCCCTTACTCCTGCTCGCGCGCCACTGCTCCGCTCCTCACCTCCTTCCTCCGCCCCTCCCGGTCTCTCCCGTTCCGTCCCCAGCATTCCCGTTTTCCTCCCCCAAAACCCCCTCGTCCCGCCTCCTTCCCCTCCTCGACACACACCTTTTCCCCTGCTCCCCCCGTCCCTCCCCCCCTTCTCATAGAACTACTGCACATGCGCAACGCGCTGCCATAATCGGTGGTGGTGCCGCGGGTGGACGAGCTGTTGTCGGCGCTGGGTAACTGCGTGAGGTGCAAGGACTATGTGGCGCGACGCGCATCCGCGCGGATCTCGATAAGAGAGAATGACCCCTCCTCACTCCCCACTCTTCGATGCAGTGAGCGACCCTGGCGTGAGTCGACTCATAAGGCAGCGGGCAACTGCGTGAGGTGCGAGGACTATGTGGCGCGACGCGCATCCACGCGGAACGCGGATCTTGATAGAGCAGACTCAATGACACGGTGAGTGCGGTTGATAAGACTCATTGACCCCTCATCACTCCCGAACCTGCTGCATTGTGGTTTGGGACTGGTTTTTCCGGACCTCAAATGACCAATCAGAGCAGGTCAACTGAACGAATTACTGTGCTACTGTGCTGCGTGCATTGCGGATGCTTTTGCTTTTGCTTCTGCGGATGAACAACCGCAGCTGCATGAGATCTGTGTGGCATGCGTGGGTGCAGTGATGAGAATGTTTCAGTGGGTGATCTCACGTGTGAGACATGAGCCTTTCACTCTGGCTTGTATTCCCTGAGCGCCCACTCGCCTCGCTGTTTGAGCTCTCGGTCATGGCGTTAGGATATATTTGTGCTTCAGCATCAGTATGCGAATCCGCCTGCCACGTTTCCTGTGCTCTTGCCCGTGTGCTTTCATTGCATGATTCTTGCACATGCTGCAACATCCCTCGCTCCGCAAGTCAGGCGTGGGTGCAGTGATGAGGATCATTCAGTGGGTGATCTCACATTGTGAGACATGAGCCCAACACTTTGGCTTGTATTCCCTGAGCTCCCACTCGCCTCGCTTTTTGATATCCCTGTTAACCCTGCAAAACATATCCTTGAGTCTGCTTTCTACGGGTGCCAGTGCGCGTGCATCACATAGCTCTTCTTGCTCATGCTGCGGCAAACCCAGCGCATGTGATTGGCAAGGCACGCGTGGGTGCAGTGATGAGACCGTTTCAGTGGGTGATCTCACTCGCCTGTGAACATGAACCCTTCACTCTGGCTTGTATTCCCTGAGCCCCCACTCGCCTCACCTTCTGATATCCCTGTTATATCCTCCTCATCCCACGAATCCTACCTTATCCCCCGTGTGCACTTCACTTGTGCTACTCACTTGCCGCTGCTTGCACTGCAGTTCGTCACACCTCTCTGTCTCTCTGCCTTATGCTGCTCTCCTCGCCGCCACCAGGAGACGGAGGGGCTGATAGCGGACGTGTTGGGTTGGGGGTGGAGGTGTTGCGCCGCCCCCATTGCCTCATGCTCTGTTCCTCTGCGCTCTGTGTTCCCTTTGCCCCCTCTCTTCCGTGTGCCTCCCCTCATGCTGCTCTCCCTCGCCGCCACCAGGAGACGGAGGAGCTGATAGCGGGCGCTGGGCGTGTTGGGTTGGGGGTGGAGGTGTTCCGGCAGACCATCGCAGGCAACATCCCCGTAGGCAGCTACAGCTACTGCGTCTTCACCAACCGTGGCGGCCTGATCACTCGCACTCCCGCTGCTGTCCCATCCCATCGATGTCAAGCACTGCAGTGCAGAGCGTCTTTGCCACTTCGTTTCACAACGCTCGCACACACCCTTCGCTATCCTTCTCCCCCCCTTCCTCCTTTCCTTCCACTCTTTGACCCACTCTAGTCTCACTCCTTCCTGTGCTCACTTGCTATTGCATTGTTGGAGTGGCTCGCATGCTGCATCGTCGCTCTCTGCTCATGCTTACAACCACCCATGTGTGTGACCACTGGCCATGCCACCAGGTGCACCCGCAAACCTCAGTGGAGGATCTGGACAAGCTGTCGTTATTGCTACAAGTGCCCCTCGTGGACAGCACAGTGAACCGCGGCAGTGGGGTGGTGGGGCCGGGGCTTGTGGCGAATGACTGGGCGGCTTTTGCAGGGTTTGACACGACCGCCACAGAGCTGTCAGTGATTGACAGCGTGTTCGAGCTGAGAGAGAGCGTGGCTCCCAGTGTGGTGCATGAAATGCGGGCCTCGCTCATTGACACTCTTGGATGGCCGTTCAGGTCACAGATAAGTGTGATTGTGGATATGTGATCCAGTTGCATTGCAATGCATGGTGTTACTGGATGATTCATTCCTTGCTGCTGCTGGTCTACTACGGTAAGTACTTGACTCGGGAACAGTAAATGACAGGGTGCTTGTGGTGCTAGCCTGCATGCTCCTTACAGGTTGTAGGCAAGCCATATGTCCAGAGAGCTCATGTATTCCTGGCATCTCTTACCACAACTTCACTTAAGGTATTTATTGTAATTCAAAACCGCACACTACCTGCACTGGTATACCACCTCGTGACAATTCGTTGAGAAATGTGCCCATTACATTCCGGTTCAGCAGAAACGAGAGGAATTTGCCAGCTTCCACGTGGGGAAGTTGACGGTGTCAGAATATCGAACGAGAATGAAATGCATTGAGCAGAAAGTTGGTACAAGTACTAACCCTAATTGGGTTGTACCCCTTATGGGCTACCCCATTACAGCCTACACAATCTAAGCATTATAACATTTTGACACACCCCCATAGGCAAAGTGGGGGAGAACAAGTGGTCACAAGACCAGTCAAGAAAAGCAAAGCAAGCTCAGGGTGGATCACGAAGTCAGCACACATTTTGAGCACAAGCAAATAGCCACAAGACCAGTTCACATGCAGAGTTATATAAAAGACATCAAACAGTACAGTGATCATACCCTAGCAAATATAAGCATGCAGGTATATATATAGATCACAATACAAGCAGAGTCACGCAGTGAGCAAGTGAGGCAAAGTAGGCACAAGGCCTAAAACAGTACAGAAACGCTGATGATCACCAGACTGAAGTGCCTTGGTGAATATATCAGCAGTGTTGGCCCGAGTGGCCACGTAAGCAAGACGAAGCTGGCCACGCTGCTGCAGCTCTCGAGCAAGGAAGTATCGCAGAGCGATGTGCTTCGTTCTGTGCTTTAGTCTGTGCTCCTGACACAAGGCAATCATGGCCTTGTTGTCTACGTACAGAACTGGAAAAGAACGAGGCCGCTCTCCCAAGTCGGCCAGCAGGTAGGTGAGCCAGCGTAACTCCTGTGCAGCCATGGCCCCTGCGTAGATCCCAGCCTCACAACTGGAACTGAAAAGCGAAGACGAGCGGGTAGACCGCCAAGAAACAGAGCCGGAGCCAAGGCTGAAAGTGTAACCCAGTGACGACCGCTGCGTAGCCAAGTCGTCAACCCAAGAAGCGTCTGTATGTCCAGTGAGGACGGCTGGGCCCCATCCTCCAAGCACGAGCCTCATGCTCGATGTACTGCACAAGTAGCGCAACAACCTCTTAGCAGCCTCCCAGTGCTCTGGTCGGTGTCTCCCGGGCGCAACGTAGCGTGCCAGGATGCTAAGAGGGTAGGCAAGGTCAGGTCGAGTGCATGTCATCAGGTACATGAGGCAGCCCACAAGCTCTGGATACGGGCCACTCGGCTCTACGGACTCGTCCGAAGGTGGAGCTGAGAGCGAGTGGCCGGTAGACAGAGGAATGGACTGTGGCGAGGAGTACCGGAAGCCGAAGCGCTGAACGACCTGGTGCACCATGTGTGACTGAGTCAGGGTGATGGTGTGCCGTGCTCTGTCCTGGGTGATCTGCAAGCCAAGATTGCTGTGCAGTTCACCCAGGTCAGTGCAGGTGTGTCTCTTCTACAGCTCCGACTTCAGAAGGGTCAGTGCCTCAGTGTCAGCAGTGACAATCATGAGGTCGTCGACGTAGACGAGGACGTAGAACGGCGGCAGCGAGATGTCGGTGCGTAGAAACATCGACGGGTCAGCAGTAGCAGGAGCAAGCCCAAGAGCCGCAAGTGTAGTCCTCAGTGTGTCGTGCCACTCGCGAGGCGCCTGGCGGAGACCGTAGACTGGCCGCCGGAGGCTCCACTGGGTACCTGCAGGAAACGACCCAGTGAAGCCAGGTGGGCGGCGCAGCCAGATCTCCTCGTGCAGGCTGCCCTGCAAGAAAGCTGTGCTGAAGTCCAGAGAGTGCAACTCGTAGTCACGCTGAGCAGCGACGTGCAGCAACACCAGAAGAGTAGTCATCTTCGGGGTGGGGGAGAAGGTATGGAAGTAGTCAACTCTCTGTCGCTGACTGAAGCCTCGTGCAACGTAACGGGCCTTGAAGATATGCGGAGAACGTGTGGGCCGCTTCACCCTGAAAATCCACATGCCATCCACATGCCGCTTCCCCAGAAGGGGGAACTACGTCGACGTAGGTGCCTGTGGACTTCCAGGATGCCATCTCTGCGTCCATGGCTGTCTGCCACTGAGAGGAGTAGGGACCCGTAATCACCTCTACATAAGAGCGCGGGGTCGGAATGTCTGGTGCATCCGGGTCTCCTTCAGGTGCAAGCAGCATGGCCACGAGATGAGGTACAGCAGCTCCAAGACACTCAAAAGTCCTCCTGCCCGTCCTCAAGGACGTCCGTGCCAAGAGCACACTCACCCCCGACGGACGGAGGACAGTCAGACTCAGACTCAGCAACAAGACTAGTTGCGTAGTCGAGACGACAGGCGGCAGCAAAGTCAACAAGCTCAGCAACTAGGGCAGACGCAGCAGCGGACTCAAACGAAGGGTCAGTGACAACAGTGGCAAGAAGACAAGAGACAGTAGGACTGGCAGCACGAGCTAAGTCCGACTCAGGGTCCGGACCGTCAGCAAGAGAGGACGCAGGAGGAGACGGCGGAGGAACTCGCAGTGGAACAGAGGAAGGACGAAGTGCCATAATGTGAGTGCCGGGGTCAGGAGGAGGATGCGGACGACGAACATGACGACGAGTGCGAACAGGCAAGGCAGGACGAGACTTTGGCTCACGACGCTCTGTAAGAGAGTCTGTCTGCTCAGCGTAAGGAGAAGGAGCAGGCAGTGGGGAGTCTGGCTGTAACTGTAGCTGCGATTGGTGAGGCGGTGGACATAGTAAGCTGGGAGTAAGGCCAGTAGAAGACGGGAGACTAAGAACTTGGCGAAGGACCGAGTCAGGTGGCGGCAGAGACGACGGCGGCGGCGGAACGAAAAACGGGCGCCGCTGCACAGTGCCTCCAGCACCAGGACGGCTAGCTCCAGCACCCCCAACGCCAGCACCTCCAGCTCCAAGGTCTCCAGCTCCAATGCCTCCAGCTCTAGCGCCTCCAGCGCCAGGGTCTCCAGCCCCAGCTCCTCCAGCTCCAGTGCCTCCAGCGCTAGTGCCTCCAGCTCTAGAGTATCCAGCTCCAGTGCCTCCAGCTCCGGCGCCTCTAGCGCAAGTGCCTCCAGCTCCAGCGCCTCCAACGCCAGGGTCTCAAGCTCCAGCTCTTCCAGCTCCAGCACCTCCAGCACCAGTGCCTCCACCTCCAGGGTCTCCAGCTCCAAGGTCTCCAACTCCAGCGCCTCCAACACCATCAGCTCCGGCAGCTCCAGTACCTCTAGTACGAGCACCTCCAGGACCAGCAGCTCCAGCACCTCCGGTGCCTCCAGCTCCAGCAGTAACTCCTGCACCTCCAAGACTACTAGCTCCAGTACCTCCAGCTCCAGTGCCTCCAGCAGCAGAGCCTCCAGCTTCTGCAGCGCCACTCCTAAGGTGTGTGCGCTGAGCAAACCACTCGCGCAGTTGCTGCGATGAGAGACGCTCCCGCCGGGGAGACAGTCGTGGCGAGGCACCCGAGGGCCTCCGGCAGACGCAGTACCCCTAGGCTCAGCACCCCCAGACTCCGCACCCTCAGACTCAGCACTCCCAGGCTCCGCACCCTCAAGCTCAGTACCCCTATGCTCCGCACCCCCAGGCTCAGCACCCCAAGACTCCGCACCCTCAGACTCAGCACCCCCAGGCTCCGCACCCTCAGGCTCAGTACCCCCAGGCTCCTCACCCCAAGGCTCCGCACCCCCAGACTCCGCACCCTCTGAATCAACACCCCCAGGCTCCGCACCCTCAGGCTCAGCACCCCCAGGCTCCGCACTCACAGGCTCAGCACCCCCAGACGCAGCACCCCCAGACGCAGCATCTTTAGCAGCACCTGAGTCTATAGGGACCTCGACAGGCACAGTCCCAGGGAGTGGGTCTACTTGAGAAACACCTGAGGGAGCAGGACCCTGAGGGTGGAGGGGGTCTACCGGAGGGGGACCTGGAGCAAGGAAGAGCGGTGGGGGGGGGAGAGGGGCAGTGCGGTAGGGGAAGAGACGGTAAAAGGGAACCGACTCGTCAAACGTGATGTCCTGAGAGGGGAGGACACGGCGCGAAGTGGGGTGGTAAAACTGCCAGCCAGGCGCGTCAGGGGTAAAGCAAGGGAAGACGCAGGGAATAGCGCGGGAGGAGAGCTTGTCCGCGGAAGTATCGCGAACAAAGGCACGAGAGCCCCAGACCCGGAACACTGACGCATCGCCAGCCTTCCTTGTCCAACGCAGTGTAGGCGAGGTCTCCGGCAAGGAGACACGGGGCCAGAGGTTGAGCTGATGCGCAGCGTACCGGACCGCAAACGGCCACAGAAAATGAGGAGCAGCCACATGGATCATGGAGCTACGAGCCACCTCCATGACTAAGCCAATGCGGCGCTCAGCAACCCCATTTTGCTGTGGGGAGGCCGGAAGCGTGAACGACTGGAGAAAGCCATCCCCACGACAAAAGTCCCGCAAGAGGTCCGAGGAGAACTCACCACCTCTGTTAGAGTGCAGACGCAGGACGGGAAGGTCATGGCGGAACCGATCGCGGAGCTGGAGACGGACTGCGCGGATCCACGGGATCAAGACATCAGGGACCTCACCCTTGCTACACAAGGGGAAGACCGTGGTGTAACGCATGTAGTCGTCAACAACCAGCAGGAAGTAGCGCTCGCGGTCCCGTCCACTGACGTGGGCTAGGCCCCACATGTCCATGTGGAGAGTCCGCAGGGGAGCAGTCGTCGGGGGAAACGAGGAGGAGTGAGGAGCGGCGCGCTGCCGCCCCTCGACGCAAGGAAGGCAGGGCGGGGCAGGCGAGGGCAGGAGGGGAGGCAGAGACCTGGGAAGACCAGAAACAAGGAGGCGGGAGTGCATGCCACGAAGGCGTGGCAGGGAGGGGTGACCA